TGAAAATTTTGGGTGTATGGAGACTCTTATGAAATCTGTAGAAGAGAAATTACATTTAATTGTGTATTTAGTGAATCATCTTCATCAAAAAAAGAAGTTTGCAATGTGAAGACCATTCCTGGAAATCCTGGGCTGAGAGTAGCTATAACCTACAGCATGAAACTATATAGCCTTCCAGAACAGAGAAGAACCTTAGTGCTGGGAACCAGACTCCTGTCCTCGAGGAGTGGTTAAATGATATGCTAATTATTTGCACAGTTAAAAGCCAGTTTAAAAATTCCTGTCTTGAATTTTTCAGTTGTTTTCTAATCTCGTGTTATGGTTGATTCACTGTTAATGCTTATGAAACATAGATCTGACATTATATATATGTATCTGTCATATATATATGACATTATATTATATAAATATACCATATATATACCTTTTCTCCTTATATTGTAGAATATCCTGAGGTTTACTTTTATTTTTATTCTTAATTACATGTTGTCAGAAGTAGTGCCAATAGGAATTAATTAATAGGGGCACCCTGGGGCTCAGCGGTTGAGTGCTGCCTTCAGCCCAGGGCTGACCCTGGGATCACAGGATGCAGTCCCCCATCCGGCTCCCCGCAGGGAGCCTGCTTCTCCCTCTGCCTGGGTCTCTGCCTCTCTCTGTGTCATGAATAAATAGATAACATCTTTAAGAAAAAAAGAATTAGTTAATACAGTGAAGTTGCTGTCGGGGTTCAGGACAGAGTGTTGGCCCCTGGGGGCTGCATTCAGGTAGGGGCCTTCTTGCTCCGAGGGCAGCTCCGGGGCAGGAAACTGGAACCCGAGGAGGAGGAGGAGGAGGAGGAGGAGGAGGAGGAGAAGGAGGAGGAGGAGGAGAAGGAGGAGGAGAGATTGGTGGCCAAGCTGAAGGGACCAGGTGCACGCAGGTGCAGGTGCGGACAGGTTCTCAACCCGCGCTCTGGCCTTGCCTTGCTCCCAGACTGTCTGCCTTGGAACGACTTAAACACTTGATCCTGAGCTCCCTGGCCTGGAGGTCCACAGGGAGGCCCCCACACTCAGGCCAGGATTTCCCAGCAGCGGTTGGTACCCCACGGGTCTAGGACTCAAACCTCTGGCTTCCTATTTCTCTTTTTGGAAGATTTTATTTATTCGCCCGACCGCGGAGCCCCCCCGGGCCTCTGTCTTGCTGCTTCCAAAGGTCTTGGGCCTTGGGCCGCAGCAGGGTGGTGGTGGGTGGGTGGTGGGTGAGGGGGGGTGGTCAGGCCTGCAGGGCTTCGCGTTTTGTTCAATGACGATGCTTCACTAGGAATAGTTCTTCCCTTGGTGCAGAGTAAGGAAACCCGGTCCCTCGGGTCCCTTCCCCTGGGTCCTTCCTCTCCCGCCCCCCGGGTCCCTCTCTCCCCTCCCCTCCCCCCCGCCCCCCCAGGTCGGTGCTCGGGTCGGGCAGTGGCCGGGGTCGCCGCGCCCCGAAGGTGCGGACCCGGGAGCCCTCCGGGCCCGGCCGCGGCCCCTGCTCTTTCCCGCCCGGGCTTCCAGATCGGGGCTATTCTCCGGGCCCCGGATCCGCGACCCCGCACTCGGCGGCGGGGGCTGCGGGCTCGGCGGGCGGCGGGCGGCGCGGGCCCGGGGGGCGGGGCTCTGAGTCCGAGGAGGGCGCAGGTGCGGGGCTGGGCCCGAGAGGCCGAGGGGCGGAGGGCTCTGGGGCGAGGCCGCTCCCCCCCTTCCCGGCCGACGCGGGGCCCCGCCCCCCCCGCGACCCCGGGCAAGGCCGGACGTGCCCGAACCCTGAGCTTGGGGGCCGCGGGCTGCGCGGGAGGCAGAGCCGCGGTCCTGGGGGGCGTCCTGGGGGTTTGAGAGGTCCTGGGGGACCCGGGGAGGTCCTGGGGGCCCTGCGGGGTCCTGGGGAGGCCGGGGCGGCCCTGCGGGAACCGGAGCACGTGGTCCCTTCTGCCCCAGGCGGTCCCCCAGCGGCTGCAGGTGCGGGAGGCGGAGCCTTTCTGCTCCCACCCGGAGCTGCCCCCTCCCCTCCTTTCCGTCCTCCCCTCTCCCCTCCCCTCCTCTCCCCTCCCCTCTCCCCTCCTCCCCTCTCCCTCCCCTCCCGTCCTCCCCCCAGCCGGGAGCCTCTCCCTCTCCTCCTGCCCTCCTCTCCCTCCAACCCGCTCCCCTCCTGCCCTCCTCTCCCTCCTTCCTCCCTGCCCTCCTCTCCCTCCTCCCCCTCCCCTCCTCCCCTCTCCCTCCTCTCCCATCCTCCCCCCAGCCGAGAGCCTCCCCCTCCCCTCTCCCCTCCTCTCCTCTCTCTTCCCCTCCTTCTCCTCCTCCCCTCTCCCCTCCTCCCCCCTCCCCACCCCTCCCGTCCCTCCCCCCAGCCGGGAGCCTCCCCCTCGCCTCCTCCCCTCCTCTCCCTCCTCCCCTCTCCCGGCCCCTCCCTCCTCCCCTCCCCCTCCGCGCTGGCTCCTCCCGCCCGGGGCTGCTCCTGGGCTGCAGGAGGCCGCGGGGCGCAGAGCAGCGGCGGCGGGCGAGCTGCGGCGGGTCCCTGGGGTACCCGGGAGTCGAGCCCCGCGCGGGGGACAGCGCCGGGGCCATGGGCCAGCTCTGCTGCTTCCCTTTCTCACGAGATGAGGAAAAGATCAGTAAGTGTGCTTGCAGCGGGCATTCGTGCTTGTCTCCCAGCCCCAGTTTGGGTTTTCTTCCCCGGGAAGGGTAACAGAATAGTGGGCTGCGATTCCTCCTGTGCTCGGCTTAAAAGGGTTTGTAGGTATGTAGTTAATTCACGGGTTTGCAGAGCGCAGGAAGCCAGTGCATGGGCTGCGGTAAAAATACAAAATCCTGAAAACTCATTCTTGATTTTCGCCCTTTGCTAAAATCCTACAGCTCAATTCTCATCACACGGTCTAGAGCCAGAGTTTAGTTGGACTTTCTCTAAATCCCTGCATGCAGTTTGGTATGTTGTGTAAGCCGGGCTTCGTTTTTCTTATCGGGAATGGGGATGTTTTCAGAGCAGTGCTTGGATAACTGCACACTGAGAAGTAAAGCTGGCTCTAAACTGATGAATATTACACATTTGCAGGTAGTTTCACGTGTCCTGTGCTTTGTTCTCCGTGGAGGGGATTCAGGTGTAACTGTAAGACGTCTCCAAACAAGTGATGCCGCTTTGCTTCCCAGCAAAAGCCTGATGCATATTTTAAAGCTAAGGCCAGGCAGAGTCAACATCTGCTTATGGTTTGGAAAGCAGAACTTAAACTGATGACACTTGCATTAAATTTTTTTTCCTCTCTGAATTACGTGTATTCACGCACATCTCGGCTTTGTTAGACACAGTGCTGGCGTTTTAACTAGTGAGCCGAATAGAATTTGCCTTATACCGGGGTTGCCCCCAAATGCTCAATCTTTAGTTCCTTTTCCATAAAATGTTTGTAGTCCATAGTTAACCATATTTGCAGCCATATTTCTGTCACATCGGGGCTTTATTTAAGTAAATTCGAATAGGTCTGTAGACTCTCACGATATCTGGTTCAGACCCTGAAAGGTCCACATCTGGCTTATAATTCCTGCTGCTGGTTCTTTAGGAAACTCGCCAGGGACAGGTTTTTAAAAAATTGATACACATTCTATACCTGTTCGCTTGGCAAATATGCCCGTTTTTATAAGAAATCTTCTGGGAGTGCTTTGGAATAAATGTTGGGAGACGTTAGACCATTTGATTATTAACAAGAGCCGATAACTGTTCTCTGAATTTTACTTGTGAAAATGCTAGTGTACAATACATGACGGTCCTGATCTTAAAACCTGAGATGAATTTACAGCAGAATTGTTCATTTTTTTTTACACTGAGCATCAGCAGTAGTTCGGCAGCCCGAAACTTTTCAGGTATCTGTCAGGATGACTTATTTGTGGTGCCTGAGGGTTTTGGTCGATGGAGTCATTGGTCGAACATCTATACCCGGGGGGAACCGTGCTGCGGACGGTTGTAGGGGTAGTGAAGCCCTCTCTCTCCTCTGTTACTGGCGCCGCTTCCTATTCCCCTGCTCCAGGCATCCCCTTGCAACACCTGCTCTCCTCCTGTTCCGTCTGTTTCTTTCCTTCCCCACTCCTAAGCAGCCTTCTCGGTGCTAACAGAGGTCAAGTTTCGCCTCATTGAGGAATTTGCACTTTCTCTGTCTTTTTCATCTGGGGTTGTAGGGTACAAAATCTCGTGGTTTATGCACAGTGCTTCTTAATACTGGTTGATAGGGAGTGGTATATGCTGCCTTTTGGGGTTGCTTCCTCAAGTTCCAAAATTTTAAAAAGACGTGAAGGCAGGGCACTGTGTTTGAAGGAAAGTTCTAGTTCAGAAGTGCAAATTAACGGTTGGAATCCTCAGTGCTTTTGCACCCCTTTCTTCTCATCCACCCCCACCGGCTGCTGACCTTCCCCTGTCCCCTCCCCATTCTTGTGTTTGTCTTTGATTTTGACATTCCTTCGCTGTTTTGCTCCTCTCGATCTGCTCCACACCCTCATCATACATCCCATCAGCTGCTTTCTGATGCTCTGTAATTTCTCTGCTACCGGAGGGTCTCAGGGAAGCTTCTCTGCCAGGCCCCGACTGCTGTGCTGCTGGTAACACGTGTCTAACAGTACTTACAAAGGGGGCTTGAGAATAAAGTGGCAGAGAAGTCATTAGCCATAAATTAGCTCTAACTCTAGGTAGCCAGTCCGTACGTTGTGTTGGTAACGTGTAAAAGAATCCGTAGCAGACATTTGTGAGGGCCCAGCATGTTTCTGATCCATGCTGGATGCTACAGTACCTCCTGGGTCTCATCACTGTGTCCCCACCTAGGAGCCTGGTTAGTCTGCTCGGAGCCACATGCTCAGCGGGGAGTACGAGAGGCAGAGCACAAACATGCACATGCCTACACCCTGCAATTCTGCTGTAAAGGATGACGGCTCCTCAGGGCAGCTCAGATTACAGAGAATTAAATGAGGTTTTGATGAAAGTTTAAATTTGTGGATGTCGTTCTCAAAACACAGGTGAGTTGGAAAGCCCGTCCTCTACGGTCCTGCAGAGGTACACAGAGAATAGACCCAGCTGGCCAAGCGGTAAGAGTCAAGTGACCCCTTCTCCCCTCCCACGGCTGCTCTATCCTGCTTTTACCCTTGGTGGTGGTGGTAGATGGAAAGTGTTGCCATTTAATTCATCTGTTAGTGTTACTCTTTTAATCTATCAATAGCAAACAAGAGGATTGTTTAATCAACTAGTTGTGCCAGAGGCCCAGGTTTGTGTGAAAAGTTACCCGCATGTGTAGCTAGAAGTCTTGGTAATGGGGTGAAGAGCCAAATATAGTAGAACCCATCTTGGTTTATTCTTAAGTTAATGCAGCACAAAGCAGTTGCACCCATTTTGTTTAAATCCCAACAGTTTAAGGTTTTCAAGCATGGGATGAGAAGCCACTGGTAGGGATGTTGAAAGGGTGAGCGGAACAGCTGATGAATGGAGACACTGGCGCCTCGGTTACTTTCTTGCCCTAATCTTCTGTGATACCGAAAATAAAACAGTATGTATTTCAACAAGGCACATATTTTAATTTTACAAGTCTGTGTCTTTTTATTAAAGTATAAGTTACATACAATATTATATAAATTTCGTGTGTACAACACATGATTCAACATCTGTGTACTTCAGGAACTGATAACAGAATAAGTGTAGTGACCATTTGTTGCCCAAGTTAATGCAGTGGTATCAGCTGGATTCCCCGTGCTGTAGGCTACGTTTCCTTGACTTATTTCATAGGTGGACTTTGGTGTCTGCCTCTTGGTGCCCTTCACCCGTTTTACTTCCCCATCCTCTCCTCTCTAGCAACCACTAGTCTGTTCTCTGTGTCTATGAGTCTGGGCTTTGTTTTGTTGGTTGGTTTTAGCTTCCACAAATAAGTGAAATCCTGCAGTATTTACCTTTCTCTGTCTGGCTTACCTTATTTGGCATAATACCGTCAAGGCCTGTCCATGTTGTTGCAAATGGTAATTTTCACTCTTTTTGGTGGCTGGATAGTATTGTGTGTGTGTGTGTGTGTGTGTGTGTGTGTGTGTGTGAGAGAGAGAGAGAGAGATACACCTTCTTTATCCATTCATCTATCAACAGGTTGTTTCCAAATCTTGGCTATTGTGAAGAAGGCCGCAGTGAACATGTATCTTATCAAATTAGCGTTTCTGTGTGTTTTGATATACACCCAGAAGTGGAATTGCTGGATCGCATGGTAATTCTATTCTTAATTTTTTGAGGGATTTTCACACTGTTTCCCACAGTGGCTCCACCAACTTCATTCCCACCAACAGCGCATGAGGGTGCCTTTTTCTCCACATCCTCACCAACACTTCTTATTTCTTGTCTTTTTTGATAATAACCATTTTGGCAGGTGTGAGGCGATATCTCACTGCCGTTCTGATTTGCATTCCCCTGATGATTACTGATGTGGAGCATCTTCTGAGTGCTTATCAGACATCTGTCTTCTTTGGAAAAATATCTATTCAGGTCCTCTGCCCATTTTTTAAATCAGATTTTGTTGTGTTTTGTTTTTGAGTTATATGAGTTCCCTATATATTTCGGTTATTAACCCCTATAGGATATATAATTGGTAAATATCTTCTCCCATTCGATAGGTTGCCTTTTGTGTTGATGGTTTACTTGACTATGTAGAAGCTTTTGTTTTGTTTTGTTTAGAGGCTTTTTACATTTGGTGTACTCTCATTTGTTTATTTTTGGTTTTGTTGTCCTTGCCTTTGGATTCAGACCCAGAACCACATCACTAACATTATTGTCAAGGAGCTTACCAGCTATATTTTCTTCGAGGAGTTTTATGGCTTTAGGTCTCACGTTCAAATCTAATCCATTTTGAGTTAATTTTTGTGTATTGTGTAAGATAGTGGTTCAGTTCTGTTCTTTTGCATGTGGCTGCCCAGTTTCTCAACACCAACGATGATACTCGCCTTTCTGCGTTGTATCCTCTTGCCTCCTTTGTCATAAGCTAATTGACCATGTATGCATGGGTTTATTTCCATTCTGTTCTATTAATCTGTGTGTCTGCTTTTATGGCAATATCATATAGTTTTGATTACTCTAGCTTTGTACTGTAGTTTGAAATCAGGGAGTGTGATACCTGTAACTTTGTTCTTTTTCCCCAAGATTGTTTTGGCTATTTGGTCTTTTGTGGTTCCATACAGTTATTAAAATGATTTGTTCTAGTTTGTGAAAAATGCCATTGGAATTTTGATAAGGATTGCATTGAATCTGTAAATTACGTTGGATAGTATGGACATTTTAACAATAATAATTCTTCCAATCTATGAGTGTGAAATATCTTAACATTTATTTATTTCATTTTCAGTTTTTTTCATCAACATTGTATAGTTTAGTTTATAGTCACCTTCTTGGTTAAGTTTATTTTTAGGTATCTTTTGATGGAATTATGAGATTTTTTCTTCTTGATTTCTCTTTCTCATAGCTTGTTACTAGTGTATGGAAATGCAACAGATTTTTGTATTTTAATTTTGTTACTGTAACTTTATTGAATTCATTTATTACTTTTAACAGTTTTGGGTGGAATTTTTAGGGTTTTCTCAATATGATATTGCACCATCTGTTAAACAGTGACAGTTTTACTCCTTTCTTACCAAATTGGGTACCATTGATTTCTTCTTTATGTCTTGTCTGATTGCTGTGGTTAGGACTTCTAATACTATGTTGAATGAAAGTGGGGAGAGTTGGCATCCTAGTCTTGTTTCTGGTCTTAAAAGCTGTGGGCTTGTCATATATAGCCTTCATTATGTTGAGGTATATTTCCTTTATCCCCTTTTTCTTGAGTTTTTATCATAAATGGATGTTGAATTTTGTCAAATGCTTTTTCTGCATCTGTTGAGGTCATCATATGATTTTTATCTTTCGCTTCATTAATGTTACATTATTTGATGTTGAACCATCCTTGCATCCCTGAAATAAATCTTACTTAATGTTGGCATATGATCTTTTTAATGGATTGTTGAATTCAGTTTGTTAATACTTGATTGTAGATTTTTGCCTTTATATTCATCAGGAATATTGGCCTATAACTTTTTGCTTTTATGGTGTCTTTGGCTTTAGTTTCAGGGTTGCTGGCCTCACAAAATGAGTTTGTAAGCACTTCTTTCTCCTCAACTCTTTGGAAGGATTTGAGAAGGATAGGTATTAAATCTTCTTTGAATGTTTTGTCAAGTTCACCAGTGAAGCCATCCAGCCCTGGACTTTTGTTTGTTGAGAGGTTATAAGTAGGTGTTTTTACAGTATACACATATTTTATTTTACATATGAGATATTTTTCAATATAGTCTTTTTGTTTACATGAGGTACCAGGATCGTATTTGTTTCATAAATATGAGCCAAATCTCAAGATAGTTTGTTTCTGATGATTTGCAATTGGATGCCATAACATTAATATGAAAATTGAGATAAGCAGTGTTTCATGTCCAGTGAATACTTGTATCTTTGAACCTTAATTACCACAGTGGATATTGTTCAGCTATACTCAGGGAAGTCTATGTTTAGATTTTCTAATTCTCTGGAGGTCTTCCTAGAAGTCCTATAGCCTTATCCTTTGCTCTTTTCATTTGTACTTAGATACACCAACTTTGAGGTCCTCTTTCATATGTGTGTGCTAGCTCATCACAGATTTAAAGCACTGCCTATGAAGGGCCCAAGCTATGTACCTCTCTTCATAGCTCCAGAGGCTGCCTTAGTGTTTTCCAGAGGAGGTGTGGTCTAAATGTTTGTTAGTGAGGAGAATGATACGCATTTCCTGTTACAAGTAGGAGAGAACTTGGGTGTACATAGTCTGGCAGAGGACAGAATTTGGAATGACTCTGGCTGATGCTGTCACCTGTCAAGAACTTTGGTAACTGAGTGTATCAGAGAAGCCTTTTAATGTGTTCTCATGTAGATGCTATAGCATGCGCCCCAAGAAATGTGTGATAGGGAACCTCCCATCAGCCGACAACACCCGTCCTCCTTCCTTGCCTGCACAAATGGTTTTATACACAGGGACGCAGCGTAACTCCAGTCCTGCTGCTGCCTATTGACAACGTCTGGCCTGTCCCTTGGCATGAAGTTTTGACTATGGAAAGAGCACAGGACTGGGAGTAAGGAGACGTGGGCGAGAAACTCAGCTCTGCTACTGACATCCTGATACTGGGGAAGTTCTTAACCTCTCTGGGCCTCACTTCCTCATATTGAAGAAGTAGGGGTTGAACTATCATGACCTTGAAAGTTTTTTCTCTCCAGTTGTCCCTTGGAACTAAGAGTCTAGGAAATAAATATTATAGGTAGAATGTAGTTCTTCCTCTTTCCATCTCTTCCTCCCTCCTTTCCCTCTTTTTCATCCACCCCCACCGCCTCTTCTTTTTAATTTGTTGAATGCAAATTAAAATTTCATTTGCAAAATTGCTTATGAAGAGAAACTGTTAGAGAATAAATGCTTCCTAACTGTCCCAGTTCAGAGGGGAAGTGGCTGAAAGCCAGTGGTTAGGAGGCGTTCTCAGGAAGTCGTCCAGAGGTGCTGTGGGGCGGGAGGCTGGCTGGCAGGAGGCTGGGACCCATTATCTGCTGCCCCCTTTCTTTCTTTCTTTCTTTCTTTCTATTTATTTATTTATTTATTTATTTATTTATTTATTTATTTATTTTTAAATAATAAATTTATTTTTTATTGGTGTTCAGTTTGCCAATATACAGAATAACAGAATAACACCCAGTGCTCATCCCGTCAAGTGCCCCCCTCAGTGCCCGTCACCCATTCACCCCCACCCCCACCCGCCCTCCTCCCCTTCCACCACCCCTAGTTCGTTTCCCAGAGTTAGGAGTCTTTATGTTCTGTCTCCCGTTCTGATATTTCCTGCCCCCTTTCTGAAGCAGTGAAGCACCGTGAAGCCAGTGGTGCTCTATGTAACCTGAGACTACATTTTGTATGAAATTCCTGTGGGTAATATTGTGGTAGCACCAGTAATGTGTGATATAAAGCATTTAACCATAGTCACTAAAGATTAAATTTTTCCCCCTTTACTAAATAATGTATACCCAA